AGTATAAATAGAGTTTCTGTGCAAATTTAGACCTCAAAACAACTGAAGAAAAAATGACTAAATTAGTCTGAAAATTACCTTTACTTTTACTTTGGGATTTTGCATAAAAATATCTAAATGATAAAGCAAAACAAAACATCTGCCAGCAGATGGAGACAAAACAAAGACAAGTTACTAACAGATTCTAAAAACACACTTTTCTGCTAAACAAACTAGCAAAAAACATTTTTCATGCCTCTTAACAACGTTCTAACATAGTTTAGCTATAAATGTTGCTGCGATAAAAGAAAATACAACTTGTGGTTCTCTTGCATTTGTCTAAAAACCCCCGCCAATAACATGGCTTTGTCTGAAGCATCGACTTTTGCCAAACCACCGCACTTTCCTGGGTCCTCCGCTCATTATGAGCTTTTTTTTTGTTTGTTTTTATTTGCAGCAGAACACCACTGGTGTGAGAGGTTCTCTTGGCTCAACAATATCAGAGAAGGAGAAACAGCCAACTGCTACCACTTGAGCTTTAGGACAAACTACCAGAGTCCAAAAAAGAAAAACACTATTAGAAGTCACAGACAACAAAATATGTTTAGACCTAGGTGATGGCGACTGGTGTTTAGTGCTTTGATTACTGTGGCAATGCTGGTTCCGGTATCTGCCGGACGCGACTCAGGGATGATGGGTTAAGTGTTCTGTGACCGTGTTTGTGTTTAAAAGCTAGATTTCCTTGCAGATTTGCTATTGCAGCTTTAATTTGAATGGTTTGTCAGCTTATAGCCATTTTTGGTTTCCTATGAACAGAAACTTCTGATGATGATATGTTACAACCAGGGTTCGAAATTAACACCCGCCAACCCGCCAAATGCGGGTTAAAATGGTTTTGGCGGGTACTGTTAAAATATTACTAGCCAGTTTTTCCGGTGATCCGTGAGGCAACCAAGCAACTCATGTCAGAGACGCTCTGGGTCGTTTGCCCCCTCCTCGAGTAAGGTCTAGCTGCGGACGTAGCCCCGGCCAAACACGCCCCTATGTACAAAACACGCGTGCATGTACGAAGACGAGAACTCGCATGCGTGTTGCAAGAGATGGAAATGACGGTTCAGGTAAAGACAGATTTATATTTTTACAACTTGCGAAGATTTTGTACTAGAAATTTGAACGTTTAAGACATAGTTTGATAGATAGCGCATTAGTGATTTTTTTCTGAAACAGTTTTATATAAAATTAAGCATTATTGGCAGTGGGGGAAGACGTCATGGACGCAAATTTTTTAAATATAATTTTTAATGGGCTACATGCAAGCCTTTTGGCCAAAATAAACGTAACAATAGGCTGTTTATTTGACCGTTTATGACTCCTCATCTAATAAGCAGCAAACTCACGACGGCAATGTGGTAGCCCGGAGGTATTCTACAAACACAAGAACAGTGCTAATGCCTATATGTATTGTTTTCACATTGTTTATGACAGCCTCTAGGTGTAAATGTCATTTTTACTAATTGCTATTTATCTTTGTCTCATAGGTGAGAGGGGGCGTGATTGGCCCATCAATCTATCTGCACAACTGTAGACCTGGGCCTAAGCTGAGATCAGTGCTGGACACAGACACATATGAGGGAGTCCTTCTGAAGCCTTCTGATGCTGGCCAGCACAACAAGGCAAAGAACGAGTTGATCGATGCTCTGTGTCAATGCACCGCTGCGAGATTTAGTGATGTGAACAGTGGTGTCCTGCACGCTATGCGACTGACCGGTTTCCAGCGCTGGCCAGAGGCAGACACGAGTTTCGGTCAGTGATGGACACATCTCGCCAATGCATTTTATGATTTACGACAACTTCTGAACTTTGTAGTAATGTTTTCCCTTGTTCTCAGATTGTGGTGATGAGGAGATAAACAAGCTCACAACTCACTTCCGACCTCTTCTGCTGTCTGCTGGAGTGGATGTGGACTTGATCCCTGATCAATGGCTGAACTGTACACAGCAGGATTTAGCCAAGGTATTTAGAGAAAAAAATTAACATTGATGTTCCTCAATGGCAAAGTTTTTAACAAGTCCTTGAAAAGCTAAATGTCTAATAGTGTAAGATTTTAATTTGTTAAAATCGCATTACAAATCTAATTATGTCTTTAAAATAATATATAAAGTAGCATTTTAAACTATTGCTTGCTAGACTGTAATTTTGTCTGACCCTTCTGCAGGAACTTTTGAGAAAACCTGGCCTACTGTGAACAGAATGCTGCGCCATCGGTGTCCTGACGTCCTCTCCTCACCATCTCTGCAAGTACAGCTGACTGTGAAAGAGGGCTCAGTGTCATGAAGCAGGTAAAGAGTGACTGGCGTTCACGCCCAAAGTCTCCTAACGATCTTCGTCCTGTAGCTCTAACCTCCTTGGTGATGAAGGCCATGGAGAAGATCATAAAAGAGCAATCATCGTGCACGCAGAGGCGCCGATGATGCAAAAATCTTCATCCTGGACTCCATCCACAAACATCTGGAGCTCCCTGATTCCTCCGCCAGGCTTCTGTTTCTTGACTTTTCATCAGCGTTCAACACTCTGCAGCCTCACATCCTGGCTACTAAACTTTCCTCCCAATTTCATTTAGATGACCAGTTAACCCTGTGGATACTGGACTTTTTAACCAACAGGACTCAGAAAGTTTGGGTCAACAACTGTCTCTCCGGTTTCCGTTCCACCTCCACCGGCTCCCCCCAGGGCTGTGTGCTCTCCCCCCTGCTCTACATCCTCGACACCGACGACTGCAGATCCACACATCCCAACTGTCACCTGGTGAAACACGTTGATGATACAGTCCTCCTATCACTGCTGTCAGGCTTCTCACAACACCACGGACCTGCTCTTCAGGAGTTTGTAGAGTGGTGTGACAGCTCCAAACCTGAACTGAATGTGAGCAAAACCAAAGACATGCTGGTGACCTTCTGCAGGAGGCCGAGGGATCCGGCTTCTTCAGTCACCACCATTATCCATGGGACCCCAGAGGAGGTAGTGGAGGAGTACAAGTATCTGGGAACCACCTTTGACAACCTCCTGAAATTCTCTGCTAACACAGAGGAGATTCTCAGGAAGCTCCAACAACGGTTATATCTCCTTAGGAAGCTCAACTCCTTTGGAGTCAGCTCCTCAGTCATGATGACTTTTTACTGTGCCTTCCTGGAAAACATCATGGCCTTCTCCATCACTTGCTGGTTCTACTCTCTTAAGCCGGGGGTACACTGTGCGACTTTTTCACTTTTTTGAGCCGATTTTCCAGTCGTGCGAGAATCCACGACATCGGGGTGAGTTTTGCGCAGAGCGTCGTGTAGCGTACAGGGGGTTACGAGAGGCGATTATCACCACGTGACCAGCTGCCGATCAGCAGTCGTGAGGTCGCACGGACTTCTGGCGTGTTTAATATTTTGCTCGTCCCTCGTGAGGGTATCGCACTGTTGAAGCGGCGCTGCGAGCAGCTGCGACCCAAAATGTATCAGAACCGCTCACGGCGCATGCGCAATCCTGCATCAACGCCGCTCGCTATTTCCCTAATAACACACGCTGTTCGTTTTTATTTCTACACGTTTTTTTACTCACTGAGATTGTTAAGAAAGCGCTTTTGTCGTGCTCATGTCAAATTAAACTGATCCCAAAACACAGATTTACTTTCTTTATTTCGTTTTCCTCATCCAACCCCCATAAATCCCTGTGTGTCCTCCTGCAGCACCCCCGAAGGACAACAGGCAAGACAAAAAGTCAACGTGTTGAGTAAAAACGGCTATTTTTAGCATATTTTTAGGGCAGACGTGTTGCTACCAGACGTACAGTGTGAGCAGTCAGGTCGCATCAAGAACTGGGTCGTGCAGTGTGAGCGCATGACTCGTGAGATCTGATCTGCGAGGAAGTCGTACAGTTTGAGCTGAAGCTGAGTGCTACGAGTGAAAAAGTCGCACAGTGTACGCCCAGCTTTAGCCTCCAGAACAGGAACAGACTGCAGCACACTGCATCAGTGTGTTCCAAAATCGTTGGCCTGCCTGTCAGAACTCTTGCTCAGGTTTTCTATCAACAAGCCCTGAGACAGGCAGCCAAAAGCCTCCACAACCCCTCTCACATTCTTCACCCCGCATTTCAATGGCTCCCCTCTGGGCGACGCCTACGCTGCATTTCCTGCAAGACTGAGAGGAGGAGAGCCACCTTTGTCCCCAAAGCCATTCTGCTCCTTAACTCCAGCAGATAAGATAAGACCATCCCTCGATAAACCCTCTCCTTGGGCTCTCCATATATTTAACTTTTATACAGATGACACTTTAGTCACTTTATTCACTTACTCAGTGTTTTTTTGCATATTTTACTGTTTTATCCATCTTCTTGCTGCTTTATTACTTCCTTATTGCCTATTTATTCAATGTTCGTATGTCCAACATCATGCTGCTCTGCTGTTATTGTCATTTTATTTTTTTAATTGCCCCTCGGGGATAAATAATCTTTTTCTGATTCTGATAGGTGAGACCCTCTCTGACCTCCTTTGACTTTAATCCAACCAAAGCCATTGACATCTGGCATGCTGACAGTTTGCGCAGACGCAGGCCTGAATTTGTGCGCAAAAATGCAACAAAAGAAAGTGATGCTTACTCAGATTCAGAAAAAGAAACAAGTTCAGCGAGCTCTGAGGATGAGGATGTTTGATTCAGAGGGAAGAGATACAGTGGGAAAAAAATAAATCAATGTTGCACTTTCTATATGTTCTTGTGTGTATTGCAGTATGTGTGCGTTTTTCACAACAACAGTGTTAATAAAATGACAAAATCTTCATTCAGTGGCATTCATAATCTCTTTTTTGACTGCAGAAAAAAATGGCTAGTGTAAATCCAAGGTGATGGTCATAAAGGTTAATTTTGAACCCTGGTTTTTACAATGAAAGAAAGTTTATATTTTGGATTTGTACTTCAAGTTCTCACTTGGTGTCGTTCTTGTGATGACCAGCAGGTGGCGGTAACACGTTCGTTGTTCTCCGAGCGCCAACTATAACCAAGACGAAGAAGAAGTAAAGGAGCGTTAGCAAAGTAAGCTTGTAGTTGTTTGTTGTATGAGGTGAATATTTGAGTCTCTGGGTTAAACATGTATTCAGGAGAGTCTCTGATGGACTTTGTCAACAAGCAAGTAGCTACTGCTAGAAAACTCATCACGAACGTTGAAGAAGCCATGGCCCAGTTCGAGGAAGGGCTCGGTGGTCAGCGCAGACTGTCGGATAAGAGCTGGGAACCACAGAGCAGCTCACACAGGGCAGGTAAGAAACACCAGCGGGACTCGTGCAGAGACGGACTGGGACAGTAATTTGGCCCGGGGCCCTGTCCTGTTATTATTTAAGGCAGGGGTGTCAAACTCACACGGGGCCGAAATGAAACTCTGGGACGGAGTCGAGGGCCAAACTTAATATTTTTTTGAAAATGTGACAGCAAATTTGCACATTTTCTTTATCAACATATATGAAATTTTGAACCTTTAAATTTGGAAACAAACATATTTCTGCATTAACACTGAATGTGGAATAACCAAATTACACACGAGCAAATTAAATAAAAGGCATCAGTGGTATTCATTACTTGTGGAATATTCAGTATTTTTAAAATCTATTCAGGATTTATGTTTTCTTGTTGTTTATTCATTTTTCTTATTTTTTATTCTCTCCTTTTTTTCTCTGTAATACGTGTCATCGCTGCTGTGACATCTAGCTTTCCCCACTGAGGAACAATAAAGGGATTTTCTATATATTCATCTATCTGCAGCCTTTCCACTTCCTGTTTACTGTAGGTTAAATCTTTTCTCACGGGCCAACAACAAAATAAAAATATCATTTTATCTTAAATGAAAATGCAACATCTCACCTGTTAACTTTCATGCTTTGGAGCAGAAAAAGAGCATAAAACCAACATATTTAAAGCTCAGTTTGCTCCACTGGTTTACTGTGATGCTCACCTGTTCCAGCCAGATACCTGCATCATGGGGTTGATCTGAGCTGAGGAGGAGACTCCTGTTGTTTTGTTCATCTTCATCATAATAACGACAACATTAGATGACAACAGGTGCTCACAAAGGTTTGTGCTGATGAACATGTCTGAGCAGCTTGGCCACATTGTTGTGTGTCGGGGAGGAAAAACAACGCATCAGCCCGCGGGCCTTGTGTCTGACACATGTGATTTAAGGTGTGTAGAAAGCTGCTTTCTTGTGTAGATCATCTCCAGAAAGCGGACCTCAGTTTTCTGACTGCCTTCTAGCCAACCGTCTTTCGATTTTTACGGGTGCAACTACAAGAGAAATTACGGTGTCCTCGTTATAGAGTACCTTTCAAAATAAAAGCGCTCAAAACACGTTTCAAAGTTTGTAAAATTGTGTCTGCGATAAAACTGCGTTTTATGATTTTATCTCTTTAAAAATACTTTTAATTAAAATAATGAACACGATATAAACGTGTGTGTAAAATTGTGTACAAGATAAAACCGTGTTTTTTATGATTTTATCTATTTAAAAATACTTTAAATTAAAAGAATAAACACATTTGTCTACTTTGCAATTCTTATCCCTCCCCTCCCTTTCATCCTGATCTGATGTGGCATTTCAAAAGAAAGTGAAAATTATTGACAATTATCGCTAAATTCAATGGTTTCATTCTCAAAAACAGTCTAAATGAAGTGCAAATTTAACTTTAAAGACAATTTTCACCATATTCAATGGTTTCTTTCTCAAAAACTGTGATTCCACAACATCATTCCACGTCAGTCTTAAATTACACACCGACTGCTAAATCCTCCCCAACTTTCATAAGGATCTGATGTGGCATTTCAAAATAAAGTGCAATCAAATATGACTTTAGAGACAATTTTCACTATATTCAATGGTTAATTTCTCAACTGTCTGATTCCACAACATCATTCCACCTCAGTAGAGTACACATCGAGGACTACATCCTCTGCAAATTTTATTAAGACCTGATGATACATCAGAAATTTTGTGAGGATGTATTCGTCTATGTGTACTTTAAGGCAGATGTGGAATGATGTTGCAGAATCAAACAGTTTTTGAGAAATCAGCCGTGGAATATAGTGAAAATTGTCATTACTGACTAGTTTCGCTGCACTTTATTTTGAAATATCTCATCAGATCTTTATGAAATTTGGGGAGGATGTAGTGCTCGATGTGTACTCTAAGAATGAAGTAGATTGATGTTGCGGAATGAAACAGTTTTTGAGAAATTACTATGGAATTAGTAAAAATAGTCATTAATGACTTGTGATTGCACTTTATTTTGTAATGCCACATCAATCAATCAATCAAAGCTTTATTTATAAAGCGCCTGTCGGGAAGCTCAAGGCGCTGAACATGGTACATGAGAAATGTGAAACATGATGAATAAATTGAAAATAAAAGCAATTCAAATAGTGCAAAAAAGGTAAAACATTAAAGTAGAAGACAAATGGGTAAAACAAGGGATAAAGAGACCAGTGAAAACAGGGAAATAAAATCAACATAAAAGAGGCCAAATTCAAACACGTTCAGGGAACACCAAGCGGAGGAGGTGGGTTTTTAGGCGACTCTTAAAGACTGGCAGAGATGGGGACAGCCTAACTGAGGTTGGCAAGTGGTTCCAGAGTGACGGTGTTAGGACATAGAAAGCCCGGTCCTCGCGTGTACGACACCTAGAACGAGGGACAGCGAGCAGGCCTTGGTCAAGAGGAGCGTAGAGCGCGTGATGGGGAATGTTTGTTCAGGAGAGTGGCCATTAGGGCTGCAACAAACGATTATTTGGATAATCGATTAATCGGATGGGGTCTCGACACGATTAATCGATTAATCGGATTACATGGGGAAATTTTTAAAAACTGCTAGGGAAACGTTATTTCTCTCCTTCCTTCACTTTATTTAACACAACATTATTAGAAAACAGTTCAATAGCAGAAAAACAACATGCCATCACCTAAATTGTCTTATAAGGTGTATAGACAGAGACCCTAAGCTACATCTATCTGTGACCTAAAATGCTTGGTCCAAGTTAAACAGCTTAAGGGCAATTCTCATCTGTTTTGTTTGATCTCATCTGTTGACATTTATTTTAAATGTAATTAAACATAGGCTGTGAATTAATCAAAATTGATCACTATTTCCAAAAATGACTGAAAAAATACCAAATAAAACAAAAGTAAATGAATGCCATCCTCCTTGCGATGATGCCCTGGGCAACTGCCATAAAGTCACATCAAGAAATGCTGCTGATCATTCCAATGATCCCAAATAGACTCACATTAGGCCACATGAAAGCAACTGAACCCAAAAATATATTAACCAGTATATAACTGCACTCTCACACAACACGCCTGCAGCAACAGTTAGGACTCCTCCCTCCCTTTTAAAAGCGTTTTTGCTTCCGAGGACATTGTGGTTGTAAAACCACATGCTAGTAGTCTGGCCTCGGTGTGATCAACCAGTTTCTGCGGGAATGTGACGGCGGAACCAGGGCCAGATTAACACTTTGTTGTACCCTGGGCAACAATATTCAAGGGCTCCATCATCACGACCCGAGGATCACCATAATGTGGTCACATACAGAATATTTTACTGTAATATGCAGTAAATATACTCAATACTTGAATGCCTGACAACACGTAACCCGCCCAGAGTAACCTTTGACCCACCTCGTGTGGACTGACCAATGAGGAGAGGGTCTTAACTTGAGGCCCTCTCTTCATTGGTCAGTCTGCATGAGACTGACTCTCAACTGACATTCGAAGTCATAGGCAGCAAAGCGTCTCTGTGCAGCGCAAAAGCCCGGGTGGACAGTTTGTTCAATGTAGGGTGATCATATTTCCATTTCCAAACAAGAGGACAGGGGATCTGTGCCTATGATGTCACACTATGGCAACACCACACAAACCATGTTGGGACCCATTTTTTGTAAGAACTAAATTAATATCAGATTCTGCCAATAAAAGGGCTCTAAAACAATTCATATGTAAATATTTTGCATATTTAATGCAAAATCTCATTTTTATGCTTTAGTGCTGCAACAAGGTTTTATTAATAATAAATTATTATACCTTTTGTTTTACTACAGCATCGGTAAGCTTCCTGTGCACAGATTATTAAGGATGCTTGTTTCAGCTGTGAGATTAGACGATAGGATCAATGAAAAAAATAAGTTGTCACACACTCCATGGAAACTTTCAGAGAATCCACAAATAGTGGCTTTCAAATGGTTTTGTTACTTTTAGCAAGTTTAGAAAAGAAGCTGATGAGACAGCATGTCTGATAATTTAGTTTTTCATCTGATATATTAGAACATGTCAGTAATGTCTGAGGGGCTTTTATAAACACTGTATAACTAATACTCCTGGAGAGGGCATGAATTACACAGAGGCTTCTGGGGAGCCCAGTTATGGGGGGGGGGGGGGGGGGGGACATTTTGCCTTGGCCCCCAAAATGTCTTGAAACGGCCCTGGGTGTGTGACTGAGTTTTGAAGGTGATCTGAATTGTATCAGATGTATAACTATGACATGTGTATAACTTATTGTTTTTTACTGGTAAAAACGTGTCGTGGAGATAAATCTACCTACATTTCACTTTGTTTTCTTGTTTTTATTTAACTATTTTCCTGTCCTGTCTGTCTCTCATCTTCCTGCATCTCCTCATAATTCTCCAGAAAATCTGTTGCCTGGATTCTTACTTTTTCACCTCATCAGTTACTTTTGAGCAGATCAAAGAGATCTCCTGACCGCAAAGCGGAGAGCGCGTTTTCGATGCTGCGTGAGGTGAAATCACCACAGCACAGGTGATGAGCTCCGCAGCAGAGCGCTTCAGGCACAAATAAGACAGAAAATAGAGAACATGTGCAGACAAGAACGATCGTGTGCTAATTATAGTTTTTTGGTTGCGCCACTTTGAGAATGGACCGTGCGCTGGAAGCAGCTGCCTGGATCGCTGTGCAACAATGCGGAACCGGTTCGCAGCAGCGCAAGTCTGCAGGCTCTCCCTCGCGCTGATCTGCCTGTACCGGCTCTCCCTCACGCTGATCTGCGGCTCTCCCTCGCGCTGATCTGCGGCTCTCCCTCGCGCTGATCTGACTTGCTCTGGTCTGCGCGCAACGGTGGGCGGGAGGGGGGGGGGGGGGCGCTTTTGGAAGAGTTGTGCGACACAACGAATCGATGACGCAATTCGTTGCCAACGCTTTTAGTAATCGATTTTCATCGAATTCATCGATTCGTTGTTGCAGCCCTAGTGGCCATATAGGGGGTAGC